ATAATAAAAATATTAAAAATTGTTTTAACCCAGTGTACATTAGAAATATTTAAAACAGCACATCCTACCAAAGATAATAAATTGCAGAATATAGAGCAGCTTCCCAATATAGTGGAAGATCAGTTCGAAATTTATTGTGGGTCAAATCCTGGCCGAGTTCAAAATCACTGATGCGTGACTTCCGTAACTTAGTGGCGTACGCTAATCTGGGTCTGTTGGTGGATTACCGTACGCCAGTGATTGTGCGATAATACTGTTGTTCGCCTCACCGTGCACAAATTCACATCACTCGATTAACGTTATCATAGTGTCTGAACATAGCCAAAAGCTGGACACTCACCGTGCCTCACGGTTGTCGGCGACGCAATTCTATAGAGAATGCAGCGCCATGATGTACGTGCAACAATTTGCTTTTTATTATGATCCATTCTCAATCACACTGGCAATCAGGTGTCGTGTCGTCTAGAGCTATAAGGAGAGGAGTTGGATTTGTTGTACAACCAACGTATGACACAGTGAGTGCTCAGCTTAAGCTTCGTATATCACATTTACAATATTTCATTATTTCAAATATTTAAGAGGGCGCTAAATATTAGCCAGCCTTCTACGATAAGCTGGAAGTTTAACCCTCTATGAAAAGAGTTTTTTGCATGGTTTGTTTCTTGCTCCAGTTGATCGGAATAGTTTCTATTTAAAGAACACACAAAAAATGACACCTAAAAATGTAACATCCATTCAAATAACTTCACATTGTAAATATATGTACAACTTCACTTGCAGCTATAAAGTAAACTTTGTAGATAGAAAAGAAATGTATACTGTACATTAAAGATGCACTGTCTGGCATGCTAACAAATTAAAAAATTAAATTTAAAATATATTTGAAATGCTTTATCTGTATATTTAAGTAAGTTCTTAACATATAATAAAAGACTTTTAAAGTTAAAATTCAGTTATAATTACATATATGTCATTACATGTGTACATAATCCATAAAGGGTACAATACAATACATATTTCTGCATGATACACTTCTTCAACCAAATGGTGGTTTTTACAAAAGATTGTGCTAAAATGTACAAATGGCAATGGAGCGCACACAAAATTTCAAAAGGATTATCAGTACACCATACTGCTTACATACAAATGTTCTTATATGAGGCATGTTGTGGCAAAATGGCTAAGTAGTAGCAACAATTTAAATTCAAGTTATTGGTATTTTCAAATACCTGAGTATGTGATCTTTTAAATGAGGAGTCATTCATTCAAATTGGACATTTCAAGCCTAAGTTATTGGAAAGTGAAAGTACAGTACTCTTAGAGTCAAGATAAACAGGATTTTGAGTAATTGCCTTTCAAAGTTATTTGTGCATACATTGTTTAATAGAATGAACTATGAACAATAACGTTAAATAAACAATTTGTTAACCACTTCCACAACTAATACTTTGGGACATGATTAATAAGACATTAAACTGTTCACCTACATTGAAAAACAAATTTGGATTTTTTATAAATGTTTTGAGCTCCCATATTTTATAGCTCATTTACTCAATACTAGACTGTGCGACAACTTTACCATTTCGCCACAACATGCCTCATATGCATCAATATCTTGTTCCATCAAATTTCTTGTTACAGTGTGTGCCATGAAAATGTATCCCCTCTATCATATCAATTACTTATTAAATTCTGTGGTTTGTGACGGTAAACATCATTTACTGTAAAGCACAGATGGGAAAAGTGCGGCCTGCAACAATGAATTAAGAACCCTATGTTTGCAGCCCGCCAAGCAAAATTGGCTAGAAAACACCCTTTTTTTACGGCCCGACACCGAGCATATGTAAAAAGTAACATTAAGTCTGAGAATAAAGTTGTGTAAAAGCAGTGCTGGGAGGTTTTGGAAGCTCACTGGAAACATCAAAGTTTGTGTGCAGCCCTCAGTGTTAAATCAAAAATTCACTTTGGCCCTCCGACCGATTTTTATGCCCATCCCTGATTTAAGGGTCTAAATTCCTTGGTGAATGTCTAGTTTCTTCTTGAAACCTACTTAATCTGTATCTATAATGTGAATATATAGCACTGGAAAACAACCATGATTTGAAAAATGTCTACAAATTCATTTGTTTTTTATTTATCCTGTGGAAAATACTGTATTAAGCTTGATTGTTCAAAACCTACATTTTTATTAATATTGTACAAAGACTTATTATACACTAAACGTAAGTGGTGTGGTGCAGCGGGAACAATTTAGTTTCCCAGCCTCATGGTTGGGGTTTCAACCCCGCTCGCTGTGTATTCCACTTGTATCTCCATTGCTTCTCTCCACCCAGGAGTATAAGTGGGCACCTGATAGAGTTAAATGCCAAATGCACTGAGGTAGCTGCTGCAACAATGGAATACTCACCTAGGAAGCTTGTTCCATAGGCGTTTCATCCAATGGCCGGGGTATTAAACGATAATGGGAAGCCCATAGAATGCTTAACAATATGGACTATATAAGAGTACCAATATTATTAAAATTAAAGAGCATCAGCATTAAGTGCTGCTGATACAACAGTTCATATTAAAACAAAAAAGTTAAAAAATACATTTACAGTTTAAAGTAATTTAAACAATATTATGTATATTTGATATATTAAATCCCTAGTCACCAAAATGTAATGCTCTTAAACCCATCAAGTTCAAAATCGGAAATTTTGTCCAGTGCTAAAATGTTCACATTTCATGCGAGTTATCAGAAATTTAATGAACATACAAGAATTCATATTTTCAAGCAACATTTAAATACATAGGTAGAATTATGCATTTAGTTGATGAATTTTGTCAATGTCAGTTAAAGAAGCACCTGCAGCATGCAACATTGATCTCACTTTCTTCCATTCAATTTCAAATTCTTTATTTGACATTCTACTGTCGGGGGAATGTGCCAGCTTTGTGTTCCTGTAGTCGTGGATGTGCACCAAGTTAGGCAGTCTATCTGGGTTTATCCAAAATGACTCTGGAATGGTAACGCAGCAGTTACGAATGATTAAATACATGATGGAGATATCAAACGTATCAATCACAGCAGATGGTGAAAACATTTTTGACTTCTGCGCTTTACTGATACAGTGTGCCCAATACCTATTTCTGGTCAATAATGAAATGGAAAATTAAAATAATTTGGAAGAGTAAGTATATTAAATTTCAATTTGTCACATTTACAATTATGCCTTTAATACACAACTTTCATTTAGATGTTATTGCATATCATTACATCAGCAACATCAGCAACAAAATCAATACTAGCAGAATCAGTATTAGCAGCAAAAACATCAGCATCATCAGCAACAGAATCAGCATCACACTCAGAATCACTGTTATCAGTAGCAGCGACATTAGTTGAGTTTTTAGCAAATTTAAGTGTAGTACTAGATCATAATAGTGTCATGCGTACAACGTTATAAACTGCGTCCGGTCTTTTGTAGTGTCGGGGAGAAAAACCACAAATTATCGGGGGAAAAAAAAATTTTTTATACATATTAATAGACTCTAAAATTGATTAAATAAGCCTTTAAAACTCTAAATAATAGTCATATTTTTTGAGGCTTCGTCCCTTGGACCGTTTTTGAAAGGTTTTTAGCAACACCAACTTTGTTCTCGTCAGGGACTTTGGACCCCCGATCTGGGAAATTCTGGCACCTCAACTGGCTCAATCACCAATCACATAGAGGCTTGTTTGCATGATAGGCTTTACAAACCTAACTATTATTATTCATTATTAATGAGCATCAGCAACATCAACAAAATCAGTAGCAGTAGATCCATCAACAGCAGCAGAATCAGCATCAGCAATAGAATCAGAATCGGTTGAAGTAGACTCAGTATCAGCAACAGCATCTTCATCAGAAATATCAGCAGCAGAATCAGCTTGAGTAGCAGTAGACTCAGCATCAACAGCAAAATCAGCATTAACAGCAGCAGCAGCTATTATCAATAAGACTAGTTACTTACCTTCCAAGGCTCCATCCTTGTAATGCCATGGGTCGCGGTAATTCTCAATGTCTTCAACAGGAACTCCAACACCTGTAAAAATTGCTGTGAGTTCCTTCCATTGCTTATCAAACACCTCCTTTGTGACACTGTTGCTATAACTGCAGTCTAGAACAGTTCTTTTATATTGATAGATGCGGACAAGATTTGCCAGCTCAGAATTGTCATCAACCGGAGGGTTCTCCCAGAAGTCTTCTCTATTAATGTTTTGACAACAGCAGCGAATTAACTTTATCATGATGTCCATATGGAATGCATCAATATTGCTGGTTGATGAAAACACTGTTGTTGAATCATCTCCAAAATCAACATCCTTTAGTAATGCACGCCTCTCCCTTGTCAAAAATGGTTTAACTTCCGGTTTGGTAAGGTTAGTTTTGTCTAGAAAGTACCTCCGTAGTTCTTTGGTTCCACGACCAACAATCAATGTCTGAAGTGCCAGAAAATTCAAGGTTCCTTGTGTAGAGCTATCATCAAAACCTGTAGAGCAAAATCATAACATTTTCGACTTTTAAAATTAATAATTGTCATATTCACTTCCATATATAATGAGTTGTCTTTTTCACCTCAATAAAATATAGAATTGAATACATCAGAGGTGGAGTCAAAAGGTTTTTGGCGGGTGTGGAAAGTACAAATAAAAAAGTCTTTTGATCCAATATGGTTATGTTAGAGTGTTCCCCAAATTATAATTTGAATATTTGTTTGTTACATCCACCGCATCCAGTTAGAGTTGTAATCACATTCATTTTAATTAATGAAACCTGTAGCTTTGTAGAGAATTCTGACTTACTTTATAGATGAAATATTATTTATTTATTTATTTTAAATTTTAAATGTTTCCTTTATTCAACAGAACATCAATCATTATCTTAGCGACCGTTCTGTGTCCAATATAAAATATAAACCATTTTCATAAACAAATTATATTCTTATACAAACCTGTTGAAAAAAGTCGTCTGATACGAGTCGTTGCAACTGACTTTCTTTTTCCACATGGCACACTATCTTTTTTCAAACAATCCTCAAGTTTATGCAGCGGTGGCAGCGTAGCATCACAGGCATTACAAAGGATGCGTAATTCATAGCCAACTCCTTCTGTAGTAACATACACAGTTTTCAATTGCTGACGAAGGTAACTTAATACCTGATAAAAATCAAATAAAATTATGCTGAACATTTTTTATGGTTGCAAGGTCAATTTTGTAGGTGTTTCAGGAATGCAACCAAGACCCCTAAATGGTGATCAGTCAATTCATTTTCAGATCGTCAAAATAAAGGAAAATAGTAAAATTAGTCCAGAGTTTTTTTTCACAGCGAACAAGGCTAAAGTTGATTATAAAGACATTGGATGCCCT